ATAAGTTTATGTTATGATTAGTTTTCACTCACCCCAATCTTTCCTCTATACCTTAAACTAACAAGAGGTTGATATGGGGCTACAATTATAGGGTTGTTATGGCCGGAGCTTATTATACCATACAACTATGAATCCTAGCTAGCTATAAAAATCAATGTTTCTTGCATATTTATTGTCCCCCAATCGAAATTCTTTGGGTATACCTTTTGTAGAACGACAAACAAACATAAAAACAAGCCAATGGCTTCCAAAAAGGTTACAATAATGTTTGTTATTGTTGTTGTAGTTTTGATTTTATGTGGTGGATATGCAGATAGTGATCAATATGAAGCAAAACGATGTGCTGATAGTGTACCTCCACCTCCAGCAGCGGGCTCACTTCGTCACCAAAAATTCTCACCGGATTTTGAGTCGCAACCAAACTCCGTCTTTAATGGTCATCGCCAGCAACCACAACGTCATGAATTCTGATTTTAATCAACTTATATTCTCGACCAATTGTTTTCTTTTCTTTGTAATAGTAAACATCTTTTTTTTTTAAAGAAAATTAGTATTTCACCCGTGCGATGCACGTGTCAATCAATATTAATAGCGGTGGTAGTTTTAAGAAATGGGAATCAAAATATGAATTTAGTGAAATGTACTCACTCTGATCCGTATGTGTATATAAATTAAAATAGAGGTAGTGTAAACCAAAATGTAATATTTTATATTTTAGTTAAATAATCGCAACTATAGTTATAATGAGCGTGTACAATTTTAAACCACCTCACCATATGAGGATATAAACATAACAACTTTACACACATTTAAGTCCATAAATTCAATTCCTAAAATACTTAAGGAAAGGCCTCATAAGCAAAACTAACCCGACATAATTTTAAATTGTTATAATAAATCTTGATTTGTACAACTCTCATTGTGAATTGTTTGGGATTTCATGGTTTAAATAAGCAATAAGATGAAAACGAAATGAACAACTCTTAAATGAGTACATAAAAACATATTTTTCATATTTGTTATGTTATGTCCTACCCATTATTATGACCTATATATTTTAAAAATTGAGTGACGGCTGAGATAATTTTTCAAGAAATGACACATTTCTTAAGATCCATCCACATCATAAGTAGAGGTGGACATGATTCTGATCTCAAGAACAACCAATTTTCAAATAGGAAATGGAAAATAAAGTTCAAGGCCTGGACCAAGACGGGGCAGGCAGGAGTGAGGTCTCAAGCTCAATTTGAGGAAACACTTCAAAAGGGGTAGAAGTACATTTAGAGCTCATTTTCTCACATTGTAATTGATCGAGTTGCTCGAATCTGTTGAAAATTGATAAAATTCTAGGTGATGCGTTTTAATTAGGCAAATCTGTTGAATCATTTAAATTAGGCACATATTTAAAATATATTTTATTACTAAAATAAAAAAAATTATATAAAAATAGTTAAAAGACTCATCTAGCCAATTCAATGAAAAGAGTAACTCCAACCTTACTTATTAAATTATTAAACAAATCATCACTGCATTAGATCAAAAGTTATGTGTTTGATAAAAGTTATTTTGATTTTAGTGCTTTTGTTAATTGCTCAACATCCAAGACCCAATTTATAAATATACCTCTACTTCTCTAAACATTTAGACAATTTGTGTATTATTAAGAAAGTTTAATGGAAATTAAAATTTTATAAAAATCCCAACACCCCAAAAACAATGAAGTGACTAAGTGGGTACCTAAATACATTATATTTATGAAGCCAAACTAAAAACTCAAATTGAAAAGAAAATAAACAAATAAATTCTCCAAGAACAACAACTCCAAAACCAGACTATGCCAACCAGAAATTTTCAATTCAATTAAAAATATGCTTAAATTAGTTTGATTAATTTTGAAAGGAAATCGTTGTATTTATATCATTAGTTCTAATATCATCACATCAATCAGAGGAAAATCACACCTGACACCAACTAACCTCTACCAACTACGTCTGTAAACCATATGATTAGGCATAAGAGCGGTCACCCCTAAAAGAGCAACATGAATCATTAACCACCAAACAGGCTAATCACGGCTATCACTGGTCATATAGATCCATATACTCCTAACAACATAAACATAAGCTAAATTCTCAATCATCCTGGCAAATCTAGAAACATAGACTTTAACAAGAATTCATACAATTAGATAACAATAACTAAAAGAATAAATTTCTCAAACTCTAACACCTCGTTCAACCCATGACAGTGGTTCAATCGGGAAGAGGCCGAATCATCATTACCGATGTGATTGATCCTCCATCGCCGGTCAAACTCTGACCTTCGCCAAACCCGCCATGTAAAATATTCACAAAAGTAGGATGTGCCCAAAACAAATCCGTCAAACAATTAGTTGAATCATTTCTCCTATGCCATTCCACATAGGAGAAACCATTCAATCTTTTCATAAGTTGTTGCATTTGTGATCTCCCAACTCTCTCAATCTTTCTATGTTTTTGGCAGACATTATATATTGTCTTCGTTATAGTAATATTCTTCTCATTCTTCTCTTTTATTGTCATAAGAGAATCTACAATGCTGATGACTTTTGACCCCCTCCTCTCTCTTCCACGTCATTTCCCACCAAAAACCTAATTCTCTCTAACCTATCACACTTCCTCCCCACTATGGTGACCTAGGTCACTTAAAATTTGTATATTCTCTCTCCATATTTTTGGTATATTCCACCATTATTAATTACTACGTAATATAATTTGAAAAGGGAATATAAAATCCACATTTGACCCACTATAATTATTTATTGTTGGCATTGTATCTAGGTAGAGAACGTGTTGGATCCATTTTCAGAGGAAAAAATATTCTAAAACAGATAAAATAAGATGCAAGAGGGAAAGAAGTGGTAACTTTCGAAGTGACTAAACATATCCTTCATTGGTGTCTATTTATAGAGGGGGGGAAATCTATTTTTTCTGTATCCTTTTTTTACAATAAATTAAATTTAATGAGTAATAAATGAAACTAGGGAGTTGGAGGGATATTTGATGAAGTTGGTGGCTATCTTAATGGGGAAAAGAAGCCATCAGAACTCCTTATTCTAAATAAAAAGCCACATGGCCTTTTTAAAATTGGTTAGTCACAAAAATTTTGTCATATCTCATTCTAGACCTTCCACTTTGATCGATCACTTCCTTGACCTCCCATAGTGGGGATCAAGTGGGATCAACTTTTTTTTTAATCCCCAATGACCTCCCATAGTGAATGCTCTAAGTTTGTTTCTCGGTTTAACCATATTCTTCATCATATCCAAGAGCACAGTCTCTTCATCTTTACTTAATCTTCCCGCGCGCAAAAGAGTGTCCTTCAAGTTGCGCAGCTGGTAGATGGTTATGAGAGTCGCATAAAACTTTTATACACCACTCACCATCTTTTTCTAATTTTACACCCTGCAACAAAAATGGACAACTAATTCTTTTGTTCCTGTCCTTCGTTACTTACTACTTTCTTAAACTGCCTATAAGTTCCACCACGCTCACAACCAAGACGCAGTCTGGCCTTTCTTCCATTATTTGTAGCCGAAGAAGAAATTACCACAATAACATATCCTAGATCCTTCCCGGTTTCTCTAGTCCATGTAAGTAATTTATCCTTACTGTTAAATACTTGTGATGTAAAATACTTCAATTTCCTTGTATATGCATATATCTAATTTGTTTGGTTTCACAATATTTGTTTTTTTACTTACTTCATCGGTATAAAAAGCTCCCAAGACAATCAATGAATTCAGTTGATCTTCACAATTTAAATTCTGTATATCATGAAGAGCTTATTGAGAATGAATATCAATTTATAGAGTTAGAGAATGATCATCATTAAAACAATTTATCTCCTCGGCTTCTTGTTTATCATCATCATTTCCTTGCTCATGGCAGACGATGTGGTCCATACTCTCCATTTCATTTTTGAAGAATAACGCATTTGATAACACGATAAAAAATAAAAAAAAAACTACAAGAAATCATTAGCACAATATTGTTGTTTAGTAAATATGATTCAAATAAATCAAAATAAATACGTGATGGAAACTAATGCAACACACAAAACCTTTAAAATAATACTAAGGTTTTTTTATACATATTTTTAGATTTCAGTTGTTATGTAAAACAAACAAATAAATACATAAATAACTAAATAAATAAAGTAAGTTTGAACAAATTAAAAATACAATAACAACATCCAAGTTCTGGTCCTTAAAGATGTACGTAAGTTCGAACAACATGAGAGTTTAATATTCCCTCACATTTCCTCCAAGTTTAAAGCAATTCAATGCAATAGTACAATTTGGGTTTTGATTCTTTCCTTTCTATTTCTAGGTTTATTTGCTCTTTTTTGTGTGGAGTGAACTGTGAAAGATTAAATAGATCCATAAAAGCCTAAAGCAAGAAACCTGTAACTACATTATCACTTATTGAGTGAGACTATATTACTAGATATTCCATCACAGAACCTTCATGTTAGTTTCTCAGAGCTAACCAAATTGCTAATCAGTCAAAGTGGTTTAGCAGTGAGCTTTAATAATTAATATGCTGAATTCCCAAATTAGGCCATGTTTTTTTTTGCCTCTGTTGTTTTTGCTAATCAGTCAAAAGTGGTTCAGCAGTGAGCTTTAATAACCAAAAGTCAACAACATAATGTTTAAATAATTCAAAAGTGTCATTGAACATCTCGTACTTTAATTTTGTTTAGGCAAGTCTTGAAAATTGTCTTCTACATTTTTCAAGTGTTAGAGACTAAAACATCTATCCCTTTGTTCGTGCTCGTTTCAATCATCTTCTTACTTCATTGGGTTTATAATAAAAACCGTTCAAATTAGTTAATGAAAAAAACCGCTTAAATCCAAACTGTGAATTATGCCTTCCTTCTATAAAAAAAAGTTAATCGTTGTTGTTCATATTTTCGTTTGATCATGCAGGATTGCTTGATGACATTGTACTAACCTCATGTGGAATTGGAGGGGAAAAATTTGGCTTTCTGCGTTTATTGCTTCGTTCCTGCATTTTTGCGCTACAGAGGTTCCCCAGAGAAGGAAGTGTTTTGCGTTTTAGATTTACAGAGTTTCGTTCCTCCCAATTTGCGCTTCTGCGAGGCTTGCGCTAGGGGCTCCCATACTCTTCGTTCGAGTAACAAGGGGATTAGTCAGTCAAACGATCGTTAGGCATCAGTAATGGTAACTTAGAGATTTGATTTATTTTTAATTATCCCTATTGAATTTAGTGGATGTGTTTAGTAAAAAGAGGGTTGTGAATAGAAATTCTCATTCGAAGAGGACGAAAGGCAAAAAAAGTGGAATAGAAGACGGAGAAGGGGAGAGAGGATGGCATGATAATGTGAGAAAGTGCGAGAAAGAAATATAATGTTCAGATCAGAAATGAACGATAACTTCAGTCAATACAGCGAGAAAATTAACTTCAACCTTACTTTTTCTTATTATTACACAATTCAGCGCGCGAAATCAAAAATTACGTTTGATAATAAAGTTGCCTGATAAACCAACTAACATGCTTACCAAACAGGTTCTAAATATTTCAATGGTCCGGCCCAATTATTAAATAGCTGCCATCTAGCCTCACAACCTCTCTTTCTCCATCCGCCGCTTGAAACTTTGGTACCACCATAGCAAGTCCGAGCGTTCCCTTTCAAACAACGAATGTCTTTGTGCTTCCTTCGTGAACGTTCGTATGCGTCATCTCTTAAAACCCACGTGAAGTGTAACTCGACACCTACATGAAGCAAAGTACAATTCAGTCTAATTTTATAGTACGGAGCATTAAAATGGGCATTTTGCAGTAGAGCTGAGCTCTTAACGGAAACCCGACCCGACCCATTTTTGGCTTGATGTTTGGGCGGGAAAGTGGCCAAGATTTCTCTTTCTTTTGTACGTAGTATAATACGACCTCCGTCCCACCAAATGCAAAGCAGGTGAGAAATAAGAATAGTAAAAACTGTGGTTGAGATTTATGCAGAGGAGAAAGAAATGTACAGAACCATAAATTAGATGCAAAAGAAAAAAAGAAAGTTGTCAAAATCCAATGGAACGGAGGGAGTAGAAGAATAAAAGAAGAAAAGTGATTTTAATTTTATAGTACCGAGCATTAAGAAGTTATTCTGTTCGTCTTAATCTTATTACTTATTGCTTATTCTTATTTTATTCAGATCAGATCAGATTAGAAAAATTCAGATCAGATCAGATCAGATCAGAAAGATTCAGATCAGATCAGGAACATTCAGATCAGATCAGAAACATTCAGATCAGATCAGGAACATTCAGATTAGATCAGGAACATTCAGATCAGATCAGGAACATTCAGATCAGATCAGGAAAGTTCAGATCAGATCAGAAAAGTTCAGACATGATTTATCTTTTTTTATTATAATAATAATAATAATAATTATAATAATATTTATAATAATATTTATAATAATTATAATAATTATAATAATTATAATTATTATTATTCTTGTTGTTGTTATTGTAATTATTATAATTAATATTATTATTGATATTATTATTATTATTATTACTATTATTATTATTGTTATTATGATATTTATTATTATCATGATTATTATTATTCTTACTACTAATATGGTTGTTGTTGTTATTGTTATTAGTTTTGTTTTCGTTATTATCATATTATTGGAGTATTTACAATTAAAATTATAGAAATAAATATAACTATAAATATAATTACAATTATAATTATAACTATATTTATAACTAGTGTAATACGTATAATAGTAATTATATCTATTATAATTATGTTTGTAATTATAATTATAATTTTTGTAATTATGATTATAATTATAATTAGATTTAAATTATATATGTGTAATTACATTTATAATTATAGTAATTATAATTGTAATTATAATTTTAGAAATATTCAAATCAGATTAGATCAGAAAGATTCAGATCAGATCAGAAGGATTCAGATCAGATCAGAAACATTCAGATCAGATCAGGAACATTCAGATCAGATCAGGAAAATTCAGATCAGATCACGAACATTCAGATCAGATCAGAAAGATTCAGATCAGATCAGATCAGAAAAATTCAGATCAGATCAGATCAGAACTTAAAAAATTCAGATTAGAAACATTCAGATCAGGTGAAGAGAACAACTTCTAAATTATATGGATATAGATTTGTACCTTTTCCTATAAAAGAAGAAAAGTGAATACTCCCTCTGATTCAAAAACAAGTTCCATATTTCACTTCACACATATTAAGAAAAGAAATTTGACTTTACTGTGGAGTGCACTGTTTGGCACTGTTTGGACACTGTTTGACACTGTTTGGAACTGTTTTGATGTAGATAATTTGTCAAATAAGGAAAAGATTGAAAGTGGAACTTAATTTTGGAACTGTCCGAAAAGGAAAGGTGGAACTTGTTTTTGAATAGGAGAGAGTATTATTCTTAATTTAATTTGGAGAGGAAAAAAATAAAATTCTGCTTGGATAGACCATGAAAGATAGGTCCGGTTTTGAGGAAGACAATGGTAGCGGTGAAAATCGCTGCAAATCAGAGAGGCAGATTGACTTCTTCTCCATTCCGTTTTATCCACTCCGCGAAGTTCACCTCTCCAGCATCACATTCAACTCTTTCCTCAAAAGAATCTCTTTGTTCTAAAGCAGGTAACTTTACTCTTTCTCAGGCTAATTTTATTCTATTCATGTTGCTTTTACTGTCTACTGAATTTCCAATTCTCATTTTGTTTCAAAATATCTCTGCTTGTACACATTTGATGGGGTTTTCTTACTTCAAAAGTGTTTAACATTTTGAATAATGCAATAGTCACTTTGCTCTGGATTCAACTGCTAAAATGTTCAGCTTAAGTTAGATAAGAATGTAAATGTAATTCTTTTTAGTATGTTTTATTTTTCAGTTATCAGGTGCATTTTTATTTAATGTTCTTTTAATTTATAGCTGTATTTGATGTAAAAGAGTCCAGTTTCCCAATTATATATTCTTCCAAAATTTTAAAGCTGCTTTCATGCATTGTATTTCTTTTTTAAAGTTTTGATGGAAAGGTAGGATATCTTTTGAGGGTTCTTGTAATCTATGCATAAACTTAATGCTCATGAAAAATATTACAGACTATCAATTGCTCCTATGCAGTCTTGAAGCATGCAAAAATCCCCCCAATTTAAGGATTACGACCACAACACATTGCAAAATGATCAAATCGAGCTATGCAATGAATCCATCACTTCTGCGGTTGTTAATAATAGCATATATATCCTGTAATTACCTGGACCCTGCCCGCGAACTGGTCAATGAAATTTTGGAATGGAATTTTGATGTCGTCTCTGGAAATTTGATGATTGTGAGTTTCATGAAGGTGAAGGAAGTTGATGCTGCAAAGTCAATATTTACCAAAATGCCTTCCCGGGATGTGGTCACGTGGAACTCAATGATTGGAGGTTATGTAAAAAATAGGTTATATAATGAGGCGTTAAGTGTTTTCAAGAAGATGCTTATATCTGATAAGGAACCTGACCCATACACATTTGCATCTATAATGACAGCATGCGCGAGACTAGGGGATATCAGTAATGCTAAGTATGTCCATAATTTAATGATCGAGAGAAACATCAAACTTAATTACATCTTATCATCTGCGCTGATTGACATGTACTCGAAGTGTGGAAACATTGAGACTGCGAGAGAGATTTTTTCCCGCGTGGACCGTGGTAACATTTGCGTTTGGAATGCAATGATTAATGGGCTTGCGACACATGGTCTTGCTTCAGAATCCGTTAAGGTTTTCTCAGAAATAGGGACCAAAGGTGGCGTTCGCCCTGATTCCATAACATTCATTGCACTTCTAACCGCTTTTAGTCACTCTGGGTTGGTTGAGGAGGGAAAAAGACATTTTTATTTAATGAAAGAAGAGCCATTCTCGGTTCAACCCCAACTTGCACATTACGGGGTGATGGTTGATATTCTCGTGAGAGCGGGACTTCTTAGTGAAGCTTATTTGATGATAAAGGAGATGCCAATGAAACCCGATGTGGTTATATGGAGGACATTTCTAAGCGGTTGTAGGATCCATAAGAACTCCGAGCTTGGGGAACTCGCTGCCGCCCAAATATCACACCTCAGCAGTGGAGACTACGTGTTGATGTCAAACATATATTGCTCTGTGAATAAGTGGGACAGTGCAGAGGAGTTGAGACTTGCAATGAAACAAAAAGGCGTGCGTAAAAAGCGAGGGAGAAGTTGGGTGGAAATCGGTGGCATCATCCATGTGTTCAAGGCAGGCGACCGATCCCATCCGGAAAGCAGCGCTATATACAAATCATTGGATGTGTTGATTAAACTAACAAAAATGAAGGGGTTTCGTCATGAGACAGGGTTGGTATTGATGGATATATCTGAGGAGGAGAAGGAAGAGAATTTGGATTTGCATAGTGAAAAGTTGGCAATTGTTTATGGAATCTTGAAGACTGGTGTTGGGGATTGTATTCGGGTTACGAAAAATCTTCGCACTTGTCCGGATTGTCATTCGTGGATAAAGGTGGTTTCAAAGGTGTTGAATAGAGTGATCGTTGTGAGGGACCGTGTTCGTTTCCATCACTTTGAAGGCGGGTTCTGTACTTGTGCAGACTTCTGGTAATTGCTTTTCCTAAGGAAATCTGCCATTTTAGTATTTTGTAAGGGAAGTTCAGCTCCTCAACACAGAGCATGCTTATAGAGACGCCACAGGAAAAAAGGAAGGCAGGAGGATGTCATGAATCCAGCTTTGCCTAAGGTTCTTGCTGCAATTTCTTTGCAATTTTGTTTGTTTATTTTTCCTCTAAAACTTGTCAAAAGTATTTTTCATAACCACATTATAATTATCTTATCTTAGACTCCTAGGACGTGTTTACTTCAGTGGTAAAACCACATTTAGGTTTGTAAGACATGTGAAGTAAACACACATGTTGCTTACTAACCCAAACAGGCGCTTAAAGTGCCGCTTGCTAAGCATGCCACCCTCATGTATTAATTAAGCGGCAGATTAAGCTTCTTCAATTTCCGCATTACCCTTACCCCTACCCCTTGCTCTTACCCTGATTGTTACCCCTAACCCTACCCCTATTAACTCACCCCAACCCCAACCCCACCCAACCCTACGTACGCGTACCCCCACCTTACCCCCACCTCACCCCCATCCCACCCCACTCCTACCCCTAAACCCTACCCGTCTCTTGTACGCTGTTACCCCTGCGAGTAGAGCCGTCAAAATGGGCCGAAACCCGCGGGTTGACCTGTATAAACCCATTTATTGGTGGGTTAGGGTTGTGATTTTCTGACCCATTTAGTTGGCGGGTTTCGCGGGTCAACCCACGCGGGTTGCGGGTTTAAGTGGGTTGGCCCATCGGGTTGCGGGTTGGCCCATCAGGTTGCGGGTTGGCCCACGGGCCAATATACAAACATATTATTTTGATTTTTATTATCTTAAATATTGTTCTTTTACTGTCAAAATTATTATAATTACAATTAAAAAAATTACAACCACTGCAAAATAATTATTATTTCTATAATAAATATTCAAATAAATTGTTGAAACATATATTTTATGTTAAGTTCAATATATTATTTAATAATTAGTAGTCATGATTTAAAAATAATCACTCAAAAGGTTTAAGTACATATTACTTTTATACAATGAGTATTTTTGTTGCATACAGCCTAATAGTTTTCAAATTCCGGTATAACTAGTACGGAGTATTTAATACTACATATTGTTTTAATTAAACTTAACAAATATTGAGTTCTTAGTATTTTGATTTCTTATATTTCATTTGCTACTACTCACTAATATAAATATATTCAAGGCTAATTATTTTTTAAGAATATTTTGTCATGCATATTTTTTTCATTGGCCCACGGGCCAACACATTTAACCCGTGGGTTAGGCGGGTTGGGTTGGAGAAATTCTGACCCGTCATCAAACGGGTTGGCCCGACCCAACCCACATAAAGCATAACCCTTTACAGTCCGGGTCGGGTCGGGTTGGGTTGGCCCGTTTGACAGCTCTACCTATGAGGTAGGGGTACGAGGACGGGTAGGGGTAGGAGGTAGGTTCTTCACGTATTATATATACTTGTGTATACATGAATGCTCCAAAATCTTTTGGGAATAAAGCTTGAATGTTATTGTTGTTGTGTATACATGAATGTTTGTGTGTCTATATATGTATATGGATATTTTGAACATTTTAATGTTAAACGGTGTTTTAAATCCTGTGAAGTAAGCATAAGCTTATAGCACTGTTATTTTACGAGCCGCTTATTAGCGCAGGTCTTTACAAGCACAACTTAGTAACCTATGGAGTAAACATGTCCGTAATATCTCTCTTTTGCGTTAACTGTTGGAGTTAGACTTGAAGACCCGGAGACCAGTCCAAAGTCAAACAGGTAAAGCTCAAGACCCTATGATTAGAGCTCGCTAAACTTTTCTACTCTTTTTTCTAGTGCATTGTTTGTGTTTGTTCTACTTTTGAGAAGTGATTAAATTTAGAAATTATATGAAAATCATTAATAGTAAAATTTAATAGTGTTTGAGAAGAAAAATGATTTTGAAAAAGTAAAAACAAGAGTGTTCATTAAAAAAGTTTTTAGTCATCATCATCATACCAGTGCTGCAAAGGCTTCCACCAATGGTGGGGTAAGGGGGGGTCTGATGTATGTAGTCTTACTCCTATACTAAAGCACAGAGAGATTGTTTCTGAATGACCCATAGTGAAAATCACGTTGAAAATTGCATCAACTGACTGCTGCTTCATAACAAAGTAGCACAGATAGTTTAGTGAGTCATTTTTCTTTATTCCATCATATTCCCAAGCTAAAAAATAGTGAATCTTTGGCTCTATTGCAAATGATGGAATGGCAAAAAGTTTTTAGTGTAGTAGAGAAAATGCTTGTTTTTAGCTTCATAGCACTCATGAAACAAGTTCCATCATTTGCAATAGAGCCAAAGATTTATTATTTTTTGGCTTGAGCATATGATGGAATAAAGCAAAATGGATCACTAAACTGTCTACGCTTCTTTCTTATGAAGCAGCAGTCATTCCATGCAATTTTGGACGCGATTTTCACTATGGGTCACCCGTAAACAGTCTCAGTCTCTCTGTGCTTTAGTACAGGGGGGTAAGACTGCGTACATCCGACCCCCCTTACCCCACCGTAGGTGAGAGCCTTTGCGGCACTGGGATAAATGAAAATGAATTGAAAAATGAGCACTCATGAAACAGTTTCCAGTTTTTTGGTTTAAGGTGCTTGTTTTAATGAAAACACCTCTTTAATTACAACCTCATTTTCTAAACCTAATCTCAAATTCGCACCATTTTTTTCTACTGCTAGCCTTTCGCTAAATGGTTAATTTAATTTCAGATTGAGAAAATATTGGAATTTGGGACCTGGGAAATATATAATAAGGTTGTTAGTGCCTTAGCCCTTAGTGGTTCTATACAAATTGAAGCTCAGTAGACTCATTACCTGGCAGCCTTTATTCATTCTCCTTAAATAGCTAATTGGACAAGTGATAGGTAATTAGGTATGAGTATGAGAATAGTTTTTTGGTTAATTTATTGGTGTGACAGTACTTTTGTTTGCTTAATTTATTGGTTTGACAGTAAGTTTTAGGCTTAATTTATTGTTGTGGGATTATAATTTTCTCCTCAATTTGTAGGTGGTGGACCTAATACTATGGTCATTTTCTGTTTTCTTTTTTGTGTGGTTGTGTGGTTCTTTGCTTAGCTTTTTGCGAAAAGAATGATACAATGGTAGCATTACTGCATTACATAAGATTGTTGTCATAGTTTGAATTTTATTTCAGTTTTGAACACCTAAAATAAAAGAGCTAGATCTGCTTCTACAATAATAGCTAAAATGTCATGAATAAGTTGGAATAGCATGAGCATTGGACCAGATTTATCCCAAGACTAGACGCCCGCATCACAAATAGAGTTTTGAAATGCTTTCTTGTAATATCTGTTGCTATTCTTTTTCAGGGGGAGTGCCCATTTCTTTCTAAAATGAAGTGCTTGGCGAGGTAAAAGCAGTGCACACCCAAGCATCAGCGGACAGCACTTGGAGCTAGTTGTTGACCTTTTCATGCCCCTACTTGGTTGGAAATGTTTCTACCTTTCTGTTCTGTGCTTTTACCAATACACCGATTAATAAAAAGTGGGGGCTTTTGATGCTTTTGGCAGCTTGTAATCTTGTATCATCTTAATTGTTTTTGTTTTCTTCAACTTTCAAGCAAAGTCCAGATATTCATGGTTTTACTATTAGTTAGAGTACTAAAAAGGTGCTAAGATACCCAAATATAGGTGTTAAACTTTTATACCAACGCATGACTTTAATTAAGTAGAACCAAGGAAAACAAACTCCAACCACGACTCCACGAGCCACCGATATTGTGTTTAGGCCGAACACACTATTGTGTACTTGTGTTTTAATTCAGGGTTGGTCCTGGCCAAATTTTCTCAAAATATTGTAAAAAAATTCTCTACTCTTCTCATCTTTTTCATTATATGTCATCTTGATTCATCCAATTTATTACTACCTCCATTCTTTTTTATTAGTCCTCTTAGGGTTTGGCATGAGTTTTAATAATAAAGTAGTAGGGTAAGTATAGAGTGTGTAGGGTAAATGATAAAGTAGGAAAGATGGTATATTAAAAAGAGTAAAATGATGATAAAGTATGAAAGAGCGCAAATTATACGGTGCAACCGGCGTACCATGCGCATGGTATGCCGGTTGCTAATACGGCACCGTTTTTTGCTTTTCTCATGCTTCCGAAAGTTCAAAGCCCAAATTACGGAAGTCTTCTTTCTCCCAGGTAAGTACTTCCTTTCTCTTTATTGTTCTTTTCTATTTTCTTTAATTCTTTTCTCTTTAACATCAAATACTAAAAATTTATTTGTGATTTTACTCATCTTTATCTTTAACTAATTAAAATATAAATGAATTTACATTTTTTCTTTACCAAATTATTACAAAATTTTATTAATCCACATAAAATAAGTGTATTGTAATACATTTTATATTTTATTAATCCACATAAAAAGCATATTTTATTAATCCACATAATAATCAAATCTATTCTTTTTATTCTCTATCAATGCATAACAAAAAGTTTATAAATCTAAATAAAATAAGTATATTCCATCATTCAGCTCTTAGACAATGAAATCACATCTTCTTCTGCGCAAGTTACATATTAATGTACGCGAGTTACATCTAAATATACGTGAGTTACATCTTAATGTATGCGAGTTACACCACTGAATAAACTCTAGCTATATCATTTTTATTGCCCTAATATTAAAAATAAAACATATTCACTATTTATAAAAAGTAATTAAGCTATCAGGATCAATTTTTCATTGTTTACATTGAAATCAATGTTTATAATATCTCAAACACAAAAAAATCATTGTTCAACTTTCCAACAAGTTACATTCTGTATACACCCAAGTTATATTTGGCATCAACGTGAGTTACATTTGTAATAACACGAGTTACATAAAAAAATCAACCCCTGCTATTGAAACAAAAAAAAATGATCTTTTCTAAAAAAAAAATTTTTTTATAGTCATGATATTAAAAACAAAACATATTCACGTTTTGCCTAAAACAATTGTGTAATTAGACTCTCTTTTTTCATTATTTAAATTGAAATCAATATTTGACAAGTTACATTTTGGATGGGCTTGAGTTACATTGATCAATAACGCGAGTTACATATCTTTACACGCGAGTTACACCATCTATGTTACTGGGACAAAACAAAAGTCATTGTACACGCGTGTACTGTTCACGCGATTTTTTTTTAATTGTCCAAAACTACATCGTTTTGGGAGTGGGAGTACGGTGCTCATGGTGGGACGGTTGTATGGTATACGAACTGATGAAAGAGAGTGTGTATTAAGAAGAGTAAAGTGATTGTAAAGTAGGAAAGAGAAAGAAGTTTGTAAAAAGTAAGTGGGGTAAAAGTAATAAAAGTGAGGGTATTGACTATTTTCTCAAAAACTTTCCTTAAAGGGAAAGGAGGACAAATAAAAAAACATCCCAAAAAGGAAAGAAGGACTAATAAAAAAGAACGGAGGGAGTACACTTTAAAATTAATTAAGCTTTATATATTTAATGAAATTCTAAACTTTTACGGAAAAATTTTTAATAACACAAAATCACAATTCATTTTCATAGCCATTTTGACTAGAAAACCTAAAACATTTGCAATTTCACTATTTGACAACAAAATGATGCTCCATATTTAATACTCCAATGAATTTAAAGTACACAAATTTAGGATCAAATAACAATATGAACAAACTTACAATTTCGGGCCCTTTTCGGTGGAATTTTTTTATAATCTTTTTTGAGCATGCTCTTCACAAAGTCTAGTTTATTCATACCAAATTTCAGCTAAAAATTCAATCGGGAAGGCAATTAAATAAATTATTTAAGAAAAATGCGCATTTAAATATGCATAAACTGCGTGGTTATTTTCCAAAAATTATTTTACTGTCTTCCCAATTGAAGCCCACATATATACGTATATATTTTGTAAGATGCTCATGCCAATAAAGCTTTACGTATGTTTATTGTTTTGGGTGATTTGTTAGATTTTTAACAAGTACTACCTCCGTTCTTAAATAAGTGCAACATGCTAATTTTTACACTATTCACTTGTTCTACTTTGACTACATTTTATTTATTGATGTATTAATATATATTTTTTAAATAAATATTATTAAATTTGCCTCATTCTAAATTTTCAAAATATGATTTTTTTTAATTTTTTACTAATAGAGAATTATATATATTAATGGTCACAGTTGTACCTCGACAAGTGTGAAATGTTGACTGTTGCACTTATTTAAGAACGGAGGAAGTATTTAGGTGAGTCATCACAACCTATGTTGAATCGAATCATCTGAAGCTATGTTGCGTCAGTGTAATTTGTTGTATTGTATGTTAACGTGAAGTACTACTATACACAAACTCGGGCATGAATCAAACTTTATTAAATGTCCCTACACGTAATCTTTGTTTTTTTGTAATAATATGTAGTTTTTGTTTAAAATATAACATATTAGGAAATAAAAGATTACTTCCACAAAAACTCAGTACATAAATAATTTTTACACATTATTCATAACGATACTGGACTTATTAAAACAACTAACTAATTGAATACAACTTGTTGAACAATTTTAGTTCGAAAAGTATTAAACACTTAGGCATAAAATAGGTTTTTAGTAAATTCCATCTCAATTATGATAAAAAAAATTAAAAAATAAATAAATTCCATCTCAATTGACAACATACCTCATCCATTCAACCTTTTTTAGACATGGTTGATCGTAAAAATGTTTATAAGTTTCAGTTTTTAAATTTTTTTTCTATAGTTGCTACTCTCACGGATAAAGTCAACAAGATTTTATATACGATGCATGCATTATGAAAGTATTAATCCACCATTTTCAAATAACTCATCACACCGATCGCAACTTTTATTTCCTTTGGTACAGAAAACCTCAAACAATGAAGAATTTTACATTTTCTGTTTTTTATTCTTCTCAATGTTTTTTATACATTTTCTCAATTCTCAAAAAGAGAAATTTTACCAAGGCATGGACCTAACTTGACTATTTTGTAAAACAAGTAAGAATCACTTTAATAAAAGAAGAATTAGTCACTAATTATAGCAATTAGAAAATAGAAATTAATAAGTTGGTTCATTCTGTAATTCAAAAATCAATAGTTCACCAAATTAGCAAATAAATATAAAACCTATTTTTTTTTTTTTTTGAAAATAACATATCAACAAATTCAGGAGTTGGGGGTTGTACTTCACTACGTGGTTGATAACTCTATTGTTCCGCCGATTTTGTTACTTCTGTAGTACATAATTTAAGTCAGACGACTAACACAATCTTTGTATTTTTATTTTGAATACACATATATAATATATAGTTAGTTAAATTTTTGGGCCCCTAATTTTTTAAATTTTTTGGGGCCCCGAGGCCCATGCCTCTCTAGCCTAAAGGAAGGTACGGCTCTACACACACATATGTTTTGGACTTTTGGGTGTTGTCTTGTTTTAAATCGGGTTAGGTCTTTCCCCTCATTTGTAATGTTCAATTGTTCAATTTATTTTGGAATAAAATTCAGACAAATGTTCATCGACATTTGTCGCACTGATTTTGGTGGTTTGCCTACCGATTTTAATATGTGTGTATGTGTATACATACATATATATGTGTGTGTATGTATATATGTATGTGTGTGTGTTGTATTTTATATATGTAGTTGAATAGTCAACTCAAATATAAGTCTTTTAATATGTTATTTATTTACTCTATTAAATAGTATTTCTTATTTATGTATTGAGATTTGTATTATTTATGTACTTGTTATTATACTTTAGAATGCTATCGAATTAAAAATGACATTACTTATATATTCAATTAAGTATTCAATTATACTTGTATTATTTATGTACTTTTTTTTAAAGATCCAAATTTTATTAATAAGATAAATCAAATTACAAGATAGGAGGACATAACCTTACCCATAGAATTAGAGAACAACCTGAAATACAAGGCCCAACCTCAAAATAGTAAACCCTCATTCTTTTTTACTAAAATCAATCCCTCAATTAAAATCATATTTGGACACCCTGGCCCCCCTCTTAAACAACAACATTCAGCATCCATGTGACTGACCACTCAAATTCCGATTAAACATGGCTTTGGGAGAAGACAATAACCACTTATAAGTGCTAGATGCTACCCAGCCAAAAACTGCCAAAATAGCCCCACAGTGAACTAATATCCATGCTTGAAATACATTATCGTTACCTTGAAGAAACTAGAAGGAAAACATAAAGAAACATAAAGCATGAAACAAAATAATAAAGTCCTCCGGCGGTTGCTATGGTTGGAGCCAGCAACCGCCGGAAAACACCACTATTTATGTACTTGTTAGGGAAAATGGAAATTAATAATCCAACCTTTTAGCGGTCTTCTTTTAATAGTCTCACCTTTTCATTATTCATGAATAATCCAACCTTTGCACCTCATCTTCATTCACCGGTCCCTGACCGGTTGATGACCTGTTATTCCAAGTTATTTTCTTATCTTTGCAAAATATTATCTTTGTGAAAGGTGGAATTTATGGTATAATAGTTTGCATAGATAAGAAAATAACTCGGAATAGCAGATCATCAACCGGTCGGAGACCAATGAATGAAGATGAGGTGCAAAGGTTGGATTATTCATGAATAACGAAAAGGTCGGACTATTAAAAGA